CTCGGCCGCGTCCCCCGCCCAGCCGGGCGCGCGGCGCCGACCAGCGGCACCGGCCGGGGCGCGCGGAGTCGGGAGCGAGCAGCGAGCAGCGCGGACCGGCGCGCAAACGGCGCGGCCGTGTGCGGACCACGCGGCACCCGGGAGAGCCGCTCCCGGCCCGGCCGGTTGGCCCCCCGTAGGACCTCATCGACCTGCAGCGATCGATTCTCAGAACCACCTCTCACCACTTAGCGGTTAAGGCGAACAGAAGTCCCGCGGCAGCCCCGGGAGTTGCGGTGCTGCGGTGCCCTCTGGCGCTCCGTGCGGCACTCGCAGCCCCGCACGGCGCACCGAAAGTCCCGCCCCGAGCTCCACGGGCGGTTTTCTCCCCTCCCTTTTTCCTTCCTCCAAGAAAAGCTGTGCCACGACAAATTCCAGCTGTTCTCCGGGAGAGAACGCGTTCCCGTCCTCGCGTACAGACGTGGGAGCACAGACCAGGAAAACACGAGGGTTATTTCGAGGCGCGGTGCCGCACCGCGCTCCCTCCTTCCCTTCTCGTTCCAAACCCCGCTCTGTCCTGTGCTACGTAAATTCCCGCAGTGCCCACAGCGCTGGGCAGGATGAAAACAGCAGCACCTGCCTGCATGGCGGCGCCGCGCTGCCGTGTGAGCCGAGCCGGCCGGCGAACACGAGGTGCGCTCCGCTCGCAGCACAAACGCTCCGCTCTTACACCGCCCGCTGCCGTTCGCGCTGCTGCTCTGAGCACGCTGAGTTACCCTCGGCCCAGAATAGTGCTAACAAACCGGCTTCCAGAACTCTGTCACTCACGGCATCAGCTCAAGGCGAAGAACGAGGGAAAGAGGGAAATGCGAGCCGTGCGAGTTTAGTGCCTACACACCCAATAGCACTCTTACACGTGAAAGCCAGGGCACGGAACAGCAAGGATAAACCATCACTCCTACCCAGCGCTCAAAATGAGCCACGAGCACCAGCAGAGTCAGTGACAAGATGCTGGAGCTTCCCCGATGGACACAGCACTGCACTCTGAGCTGTCAGAGCACACAGCTGTGCCTGCAGCACACCTCACTCCTACAAATACAGCTGCACTGCAGGCCTGCCGTGCCCCCAGTGCGTGGTTGGCTGTTTGCTCTTGGCTACAGGCAGGATCTGAGATAGGAGCATTTCCAGAACACCAAGAAGCAGCAGTATCTGTGATCTCAGAAAACCAGTGGAGTACTTGATAATGAAACTTGGGCAACAGCTCTGGTGAAGATGCACGAAGCGGAACAAGATCCCACTTGCCCTTAACCAACCACCACCTCCAAAGGCATTCATGTTGTACTGCACGTTGTACTGCATACAGCATCAGGGCCAAAACATCTCTTCAAATCAAAATTTCTTATTCTGCCAGTGCAGCCCAGTACGAGCCTCAGCTCACTGCTCCTTACTGACCAGCATGCAGTTCCCTTGCTAGCACATCCCTTCGACACGTTCCTCTGGCTCTACAGGTTAAGTAGAGTTCTGCTGCCACGATGAAGAGACACCATTTAGTTGTTGGAAAATATCACACATGGGCAGAAAAGTTAAAGAGGGTGGTATTCACATGAGCAAACCTGGGCTCCTGAGGACTTGAGGAAAATGGGTGAAAGAAAAGGATGACTGGGACCACTGGTGTTATGTGCTCTGCTTAAAGATGTGTGAGGAGCGCAGGCTCCTCACACTGGCACCTATGTTACATACCTACAGTTAGATGGCAAACCTTCCCGTCTCCTATTTGATGCATTTCAGTTCCAAGAGTCATTTCTCCAAGCACTGATGCTATTCGTTCAGATCAGTTTCAGAGGATGATTCCAGAGGAAGAACAGCGCAGTAAGCCGGGAGTGCAGGCAGTGCAGCTGCCCTGCTGGTACTTCTGAAATACGAAAACAAACAGGTTGTGCGAGACTTTGAATTCCAATTTTACAGCTCATCTGAAAAGGTCAGAGATCTGTAACACAAGGGCCCAGGAAGCAGTGGAGTTGTCAGCCCTGGAGGTGTGGAAGAAGCATTAGATGTTGCACTGAGGGATGAGGTTTAGCGGGAAACATTGCTGGTAGGTGGATTGGCTGGACTGGATGATCTTGGAGGTCTTTTCCAACCCGGTGATTCAGTGATTCTACGATTCTTTGCACTTGAGCACCAGCTATTGCTAAGCAGACACACTCCAGTTTAGCTTAGATTTTATTAATATCTCTTCTAGAACCAAGGAGTATCACTCATTTTAATTTAAAACCTGCGGAAATTTCAGATAAACTGAGCATATTTCCACATGTCCAAGGTTCAGAGTGGCACACCCGCAGTCGTAAAGCAAGATTAAAGAATTCTCCAAAGCAAGAGAAAAATTAAACAGCATTTCAAGCTCCTTCAATGACATCTCCAGATGGGCTCAGTAGCCCATCACTCTGGGCTACAGTTTCCTTTCACAAGAGAGCACTGCAACAACCACAGGTATTCTTTTCAGAATCTCGTATTTTGCAACGCTTATGGATAAGGAATGAGAATCTAAAGGCAAACCAAACGCCATAATTCATTACAGATATTTAAGTCTGTTATTTTTGAGGGAAAAAACCCTCCCAGGGCTTTTGTATGTGCTCCAAAAGGAACCAGAAGAGAAGCCCCCTCCCCTGCTGTGCAGCTGTTTACACGTTCCTGGCAATCCGGCCAGCTTTCAATCGCTGCAAAGGCAGCCTGTTCCAAAGTGCCTTTGGCAGAGGCAGCACCTCATAGTGGGGGCGTTCAGTAATCCAAACCTCATCCTCCACC